TTTTTGAATTCTACTGCTTTCATTACTAAAAATATATTTTCTTCTGTGCAGCAAACAGAAGTTTGTTTTTTTAACTGAATTTCATTCTACAAAGTGAAATTCCAACATATCCCCAATATATTTGTTACAATTACTGTATATCAGGGCAAGTGTTTTATACATTTTTATTTTATACTACGAACAATAAAATAATGTGTCTATTAAAAACGTTTCTTTCAAACATAAACTATCTTAGTTGGAGTAAAAAGTGACAACTGGCCCCTTATTCGTTTACAATACACGTTTATTCAAATGTTTTATTTTTATTTATTTACTTATTTGAACCATACCTGTCTTTGGCATCCAGGAAGGCCTTGGCGAATGGATTGTATTTAATTTTGAGAGAAGTAATCTAAAAGAACAAAATTACGGATGTTATTCAGAGTGTTATTATGCACCATATCCTTGTTCATTTGTTGACAAACTTTATAAAATCACAGTGTACCTCTTCATTCTGGTAGGCAGTAACTGCTATGAATTGTGTCTCGGGGAACGAGTGAGTGGTGATCATTCTTTGTGGACCACCAACGCGCACTATATGGACACGGGGCTCATACTTGTGCAGCGAGTTCAGCATAATCTATGAATAAATGGTATATATTTTCGATTTTACATTTCAGTATTTTCTCTGGTGTAAAATTTGGACATTTAAATAAAATCATGAACAATAAATCTGAATTACGCACAAAAAATGGTGATTACATTTCATTCCACATCATCTTTTAGATTGGCTTACACACCATAACCAGTAATCTAAAAGAACAAAATTACGGATGTTATTCAGAGTGTTATTATGCACCATATCCTTGTTCATTTGTTGACAAACTTTATAAAATCACAGTGTACCTCTTCATTCTGGTAGGCAGTAACTGCTATGAATTGTGTCTCGGGGAACGAGTGAGTGGTGATCATTCTTTGTGGACCACCAACGCGCACTATATGGACACGGGGCTCATACTTGTGCAGCGAGTTCAGCATAATCTATGAATAAATGGCATATATTTTCGATTTACATTTCAGTATCTTCTCTGGTGTAAAATTTGGACATTTAAATAAAATCATGAACAATACATCTGAATTACGCACAAAAATGGTGATTACATTTCATTCCACATCATCTTTTAGATTGGCTTACACACCATAACACTGTTCTCGCAACAAAAATGTCCACGAACCTGACCACCTCCGTTCAGTTTGTTGGTAAGTTTGACTTTACTGAAGGAGACTGAGGTTTTCATCCAGTGCGCACCGAAGTTTGGCGAGTCTGGATGGATGTAGACGCAGCTCGGCGCTTGTGGCTCGGGTTTGCCCCCCGGTACCCATTCACCGTTCACATACTTCCACCTGTGATTGTCTGCTGCCACGAAATCCATTAAGAAGGAGTACATGGCGTTTGGATCCAGACCGGACACATTCACCTTCAGCACCGGGAACATGCGCCTGATCACAACAATAAACAGTGACATCATCACGTTTCTTTTTAAATAAATGAAACAACTCCACTAAAATTAATTCACTTGAAAGCAGAATGAGAACCCTTACCAAGAAGTAATATACTTCAAGTTTATTTTAGTAAGTATACTTAAGTAAAGTTCAAGTTTATTTTAGTAAGTATACTTCATAAAGTAAGTATACAAATATTAGTGTACTAGTAGTATACTTGTAAGTGTAAAATTTCAATACTCCTTGGGACTAAATTGGCCCACTTTCTAGTATATAAAAGTATACTTTAAGTATAACAGTAGTAAATTTTGAGTAACTAGTTTACATCAAAATGTTTAGTTTGTACTGCAACTATACTAAAAGTGAACTTATAGGTATACTGATAGTTTGCTAATTAAATACTTGTAGTAGCATTTTTAGTACACTTTGAAGTATAGTCTCAGTAAACTACTAGTTTAGTAGTTTTATACTGCAAGTATACTCGTAAGTTTTCTTTAAGTGAACTCTACATCATACTTTAAGTATACTACTACATTCTTAAAAATAAAGGTGCTTCACGATGCCATAGAAGAACATTTTTGTCTAAATGGTTCCATAAAGAACCTTTAACATCTGAAGAACCTTTCTGTTTCCCAAAAGGTTCTTTGTGGTGAAAAAAGGTTCTTCAGATTATAAAAAGGTAAGAAAGAGATGGTTCTTTAAAGAACCTTTGACTGAATGGTTCTTTGTGGAACCAAAAATGGTTTTTCTATGGCATCGCTTGAAGAACCTTTTGAAGCACCTTTATTTTTAAGAGTGTATGTCCCTATTTAGGTATTAATTTGTATATATTTTGTTACATGAATATCTGAACATACAAAACATCAAAAGAACAGGGTATCTGCTTGTAAACAAAAACATTTTATTCTAGCTTCATGCATTCTTTTTTTAAACACTTGAATGTGGATAAGTTTCATAAATAAAAAATAAAGAAATAAACAACATTTTGAACAAAAAGCTGAAAAAAGATTATGAATTGGATTCAGAATGATAATCAAAACGTAGATAAAGTCGATCAACACCCCAAAGCTTGACAGTCAGTATTACCTCTTCATTGGTCGACATTTTATTCCATAACGTTACACAGTTTTGATGATGTTTTATGTCTGATGATCGTGCTAGGATACAGTGGGTGTGAAAAATTTTAAGTATACTTTATGTAGTAAGTATACAAATATCAGTGTACTAGTAGTATACTTGTAAGTGTACTATTTCAATACTCCTTGGGACTAAATTGGCCACTTTCTAGTATATAAAAGTATACTTTAAGTATAACAGTAGTAAACTTTGAGTACACCACTAGTTTACATCAAAATGTTTAGTTTGTACTGCAACTATACTAAAAGTGAACTTATAGGTATACTGATCATTTTTAGTACACTTTGAAGTATAGTCTCAGTAAACTACTAGTTTAGTAGTTTTATACTGCAAGTATACTCGTAAGTTTTCTTTAAGTGAACTCTACATCATACTTTAAGTATACTACTATGTCCCTATTTAGGTATTAATTTGAATATATTTTATGAATATCTGAACATACAAAACATCAAAAGAACAGGGTATCTGCTTGTAAACAAAAACATTTTATTCTAGCTTTGTGCATTCTTTTTTCAAACACTTGAATGTGGATAAGTTTCATAAATAAAAAATAAAGAAATAAACAACACTTTGAACAAAAAGCTGAAAAAAGATTATGAATTGGATTCAGAATGATAATCAAAACGTAGATAAAGTCGATCAACACCCCAAAGCTTGACAGTTATTATTACCTCTTCATGGGTCAGCATTTTATTCCGTAACGTTACACAGTTTTGATGCTGTTTTATGTCTGATGATCGTGTTAGAATACATGTGGAGGCATCTGTTGTTTCGGTTTCTTCTTCACTTGTGTTTTTTGGAAATTCTGTACAGAAGATGTGTACTAGCGTGCCCTACAGTATAACAATGAAAACACGGATTCTAGGAACACAATTATAGCACAAATATATTTAGACTTTTTCTAAGTATAAGTCAAGTATACTTAAATGTCATTTTAAGTATATTTCTGAGAAGTACATCAAGCCGATTTCTGAGAAGTACATAAAAAGTAGACTAAAAGTATACTTTCCGATTTTTAGTTTAAAAGAAGTATACTAATAGCACACTCGAATAAACTTCTTTTTCGTAAGGGAAGGAGGGGGAAATACATGTTTGGAACTTAAAGCTGGATTTGGAGCTGTTATAGGCAATATGGAATTGGAATTGAAACAAACACGTTTGTACGCTGAAAAAAATGTCTAGAAGCCTTAAAATGTTGACAAATGTGGTTCAACGTAAATTAATTTATTTTATAAATATTATTTGATATGACAGTCAAAGCAAGAAGCAAAGGTTAATTACAGCACATTTTTACTTTTTTGAATTCTACTGCTTTCATTACTAAACATATATTTTCTTCTGTGCAGCGAACAAGAAGTTTGTTTGTAAAAAATGCTAAATAAATAAATAAAAATACCTGCCATTCTTGGTCACTATCATTTCATTGGTCAGTTCTTTGAACTTCTGCCAAAGTTCATTTTCATCCAAACTGACTTTAAGGTCCCTTTCTGTTGGATCTCCTTTCTCACTGCCAGCTTGAAGCTCATTCTCTACCGCAGTTAATAAATGATCCACCCGATACTGGACGCTCTTTTCCGAACAGTCACTGGCCCCAGATGCCATTCTGCTATCCAAGTGGTTCCAACAAGAAAAGAAAGAAAAAAAAAAGATATATATATATCCAAACTACGCGAGCTCTCCAGTCGAAAATGCCTAAGACTAGAAGAGATGCATCCAATTAAATACTCCCAAGGTAAAACTTTCCCCATGCTTGGCTCAGGAATGCTCTGATTGGCTGATCTCCGCTCTGATGTGCGAGCTGTCCAGCTATTGGTTCAGTGATCCAGTGAGGCGAAGCGTAAATATTTACACATATTCATAGTCACATCGGCACATTTTAAATTTGAAATATATTTCCTCCTTACAAAAAACGTAATAAAAGTAATGCATGCCAAATTATAGGTTTGCAATGTTGGAAAATGTATGATTTATACACTTTTTTTTCCTTAAGTCTTCATACTTAAAAAGCTCCTTTATTTAACTGTTAAGACTTTAAATTCAAACTACAGTATGAATGTGTGAAAGATGCAATATGTTATCTGCTGAATGCCACTGGAGAAATGCAAAAATAAATAAATAAATAAAATAAATAAATAAAAATATTATTATTTCTCAAGTAGACTCGTTTTTTTAATTGCATTGTAATGCAATTAACAATGCAATTACATTCCCGCCCCCCCAAAGCTTCTGGTAAATATGTTTATGATTTTATAGGAACAACAAAACCTTTCTGAAATTATTTTTTTATGGTATTTATTGACTAAATACACAGTATAGTAAACAATGTGATTAAAATAAAATGCATTTATGAGTTAAGCAGGACGTCTCTTCTTTCCTCTCCATTAACTAACAGCATCCTGGACCTACACTCAGAAAAAAAGAGGGTACAAAAGGACACCTTTGTACAGTATTTACCCCTAAATGGTTCATAATAGTACTAAGAGTACGATTACAACTCTAAAGTAATAAGCACCCTTTAGGGATAAAGAAGGTGTCCCTAAAAGTACAAGTCTTTGCACATTTATTCTGAAAGTTTATTTAAAAAGTGACAAATCAACACCAGTCCTCTATGTATAATTTGACCACATCTTCACATCAGCGTTTTCCACCTGAAACAAAGTAAAACTGCAGTTAACTGTCGAAGAAATCTAATTTGGAATTATTATCATTATTATATTATTGTGTAGTTGGTTTGTTTGTATCTATTTTATCATAGAAACAATATGGTGTACAATACAGTACCTCAACAGCACGACTAGTATAGATGTCAGCTATGCATAGAGGCATGTCTGTATATGATGATTGAGTGTCTTTAGCAGAACTAGACGGGGATTCATCTGTGCTTTTTCCAGCCGGACGCAGACTGCATGTATGAATGAAAAATGATCAAGTTTGAAAGCAAAAAGATTGACACGTTCCTTAGCACTTTCATTCACAGTGATTCCTAACCTTGGTGAGAAATTAGTATTTGGACTCTCAGTGAAGGATTCTGGGCCCTCGGACGTTCCTTTATCACTCAGGTGCGTAAAGCCAGGCTCTGTGGGATATCTGGACTTCTGAGTTTGGATGCTGTGGGGACAATCATGCTCCATCTCCTCAAAATAAATGAGAGTGGATTGCTGAATAAGAAATGATCTATAAAAGCACATTATAAAGGAGTAGGTGACCCAAAAAGAAATATTTTGTCATGATTTTAAGGCATAATTTCTGAAGAGAACAAAACTTTGGTAGAGTGGGAGATCATTAGTCAACAGCATGAGTCTAAACTCCTCAAAAAACATAATGTTTGATTTCAGGATACCTTGAATATAGCACATTGATCTTGCAGACTACTTTTATGATACTTTTATGTTGTTTTTCTCACATTTGACAATAAATCATCATACACTACACTATACAGCTGGACGGAAAACCAAAACTGGGACATTCTCTTTGAAATCTTCTTTGAGATTCATGATGAAGGAAAACACAATGGTGTCCAAACAACAAGAGGGTCAATAAACGTCATTTTGGGTAAACTACTCCTAAGTTCACTTCACTTAAAGAAGTTCAAGTTTTCAGAGCTGAAGAAGCGTGTGTTGTGTGTCACTCACCAATTCTTTAATGCTGAACCCATCGGTGCATTGCAGACCGAGTCCATTTTTTGCCATAATTCTAAAGAGATATATTATTAATATAAATTTTCCATTCATTTTAATTAGATTCCAGACATTGTCAAATTATTCACCTCTGAGTGTCAGCCATATGAGAGAGCGAGAGGTTGTGCATTAATCTCGTTTTGTGTTTAATGTCAATGGTCTTTGACCAGATCGGTGGCTCATAGCTTCTCTGTTATGATAAAAATAACAACAGTTCTGAAAATACAAAACCAAACCCTTCTTTCAAGAAAAAGCATGCATCTCCATGACAAAACTTCAGATTCACCATTTCATGAACACATAATCCAAACATGTGCAACTGGTAGCACTACTATCGGTTTCCCTCTGGAGAGCTTTAGATAAAGGTCTCTGCTAAATTAATTGAATTAATGTGAACGTAGGATGATAAAATGTCCTAAAGGTACCATAAGAAGCATCTTGGAGCTGACTTCTTCCAGGAAGGTGGACCGCAGACTGGAAAATGTAGGCACTTTGAGCTCCCGAGTGAAAACCTATAAAGACAAAATGTACTGCATGTATATAACAGCTTTTATATTTTAGGAAGGGGATCAACATATTTGGTACATTATATTATACATATTTTTTCCCTTATGGAATGTGTTGTTCCCTTGACGTTACATAGAATTATGCAACATAAGAAGGGTGTGAACAGTGTTTTGTGTATTCCTTCATTGGTGATTATTTGTCACTTCCATGGGTTATATCATGACAGTGGGATGTATCAGTCAGAAGACAGAGGTGATAGCACTAGTGTCATCTCTCACAGTTGCTGTGTTACTCTGTGCACCTCACAATCTTTCAGGCCACGCAGTGTGTCGGCTCACACCCTGAGGTGACAGGGTGTGAGTGAGGGAGCCATCTGAGACAGCTGAACTGTTGATATACTGTAGGTGCGTATTCGCACGTCACTATATGAATGGTGTTAGGTGGGCCTCACCTCTACAGCTTCTGCACAACAGCAACAACTGCAGTGGTAAAGCCCTGTTTATATGCAAGCACACTGTAATGCGAGTGGGGAACAGGTGTAACACTGTGTAAAAACCCTGTAGAATGAAGTGAGAATGATGTTAGATCACACCAAACTGTTTACATAAGAAGTCATGACAGATTTAACATGCCTTAACTATTTCAGTCCAAAATTGGCTATCCCACAAACTTTTTTTTTCCTCCCTGGGCAAAAAACCTTTTAAATATATGGTAAATAATATATAAAAATAAAAACAGGGCAGTCAATGAAAAATATTTTTCAAACTTTTTTCAATGCTAAAATATATTTAAAATATTTGCTGGGGTGTTTGTTACGGGGCTGACGAGACGTGAGACATGCGGATCCATGTGCAAGCTTTATTAAAGCAGAGGAGGTCAGAAACATAGGCAGGGTCGAACAGTGGCAAACAGGTATATGGTGGGCAAGACACAAGAATAATTCTAGGGCTAGCGAAGGTCAACGAACGGCGAACAGAATCAAAAGAGCAAGACTAAAGGGATAAATCCAGGAAAACAGGCAAAGATCAGAAACCGAGAAAACAGAGAGACAGCTGAACTGTTGATATACTGTAGGTGCGTATTCGCACGTCACTATATGAATGGTGTTAGGTGGGCCTCACCTCTACAGCTTCTGCACAACAGCAACAACTGCAGTGGTAAAGCCCTGTTTATATGCAAGCACACTGTAATGCGAGTGGGGAACAGGTGTAACACTGTGTAAAAACCCTGTAGAATGAAGTGAGAATGATGTTAGATCACACCAAACTGTTTACATAAGAAGTCATGACAGATTTAACATGCCTTAACTATTTCAGTCCAAAATTGGCTATCCCACAAACTTTTTTTTCCTCCCTGGGCAAAAAACCTTTTAAATATATGGTAAATAATATATAAAAATAAAAACAGGGCAGTCAATGAAAAATATTTTTCAAACTTTTTTCAATGCTAAAATATATTTAAAATATTTGCTGGGGTGTTTGTTACGGGGCTGACGAGACGTGAGACATGCGGATCCATGTGCAAGCTTTATTAAAGCAGAGGAGGTCAGAAACATAGGCAGGGTCGAACAGTGGCAAACAGGTATATGGTGGGCAAGACACAAGAATAATTCTAGGGCTAGCGAAGGTCAACGAACGGCGAACAGAATCAAAAGAGCAAGACTAAAGGGATAAATCCAGGAAAACAGGCAAAGATCAGAAACCGAGAAAACAGACAAGGCAAGACTAGGCTAGGCTAGGCTAGGCTAAGAAGCTAACGAGGGCTCTGTAGAGTAGCTATCAAAACTATACACGCTAAACAATACTCGGCCGAGAATGGTTGTTTGAGTGAGTGTTATATAGTGAATGTGTGATTGATGACAGCTGTGTGCAATCAGTGCTGTGTGCAATCAGTGCAATGGCTGAAGAGATATGTATTCCGGGGTGATATGCAACAGTGTGTAGTGCGAGAGTCAATGAAAATGGAAAGGGTGACCTCTGATGGCTAGCAGATGGAAGTTCATGGACCGGATACGTAACAGTATTTACTTACCCAAGTGAAAATATGTTTTATGTCTCCCAGCTATCGGTCAGATGAAATGTTTTGCTTTAAAAAATTAAATACGGTGATACTTTAACACATATTCACGATTAACGAATAGTTTTCCCTCGATAAACTCCTAATTTGCTGCTTATTGATAGTTAGTAAGGTAGTAGTTAAGTTTAGGTGTGGGGTAGGATTAAGGGATCTAAAATATGGTCATGCAGAATAAGGCATTAATAGGTGCTTTATAAGTTTTAATAAACAGCCAATATGCTAGTAATATGCATGCTAATAAGCAACTGGTCAATAGTGAGAATTGATCCTTTAAATCAAGTGTTACCTGAAAGACTTATTCTTTAACACAGTAAAGTATTCAGCTCAAAGGCTAATATGTGTAAAACAGAAACATTTTCTCATGCATGTGTAATTGAGAGAAGATATATCTTCAAGTGTAATTGAGAGATGTTTGGATATTTTCTAAAGGCCTATATTTGCAGTGTCTGTCCACGTCATATATGTTTAGTACCTGTCTCCAATGTGGATCTGACTGTTTTCTTGTGTGTTGCAGCTGTAAGTGGGACTCAGGGCTAAGTAATACTCCTGACTGCTGGCTCTTCCCAACTCTGTCTGCCCAATGTTTGCCATCCCACTCCCTCCAGGTCAGAAACATAGGCAGGGTCGAACAGTGGCAAACAGGTATATGGTGGGCAAGACACAAGAATAATTCTAGGGCTAGCGAAGGTCAACGAACGGCGAACAGAATCAAAAGAGCAAGACTAAAGGGATAAATCCAGGAAAACAGGCAAAGATCAGAAACCGAGAAAACAGACAAGGCAAGACTAGGCTAGGCTAGGCTAGGCTAAGAAGCTAACGAGGGCTCTGTAGAGTAGCTATCAAAACTATACACGCTAAACAATACTCGGCCGAGAATGGTTGTTTGAGTGAGTGTTATATAGTGAATGTGTGATTGATGACAGCTGTGTGCAATCAGTGCTGTGTGCAATCAGTGCAATGGCTGAAGAGATATGTATTCCGGGGTGATATGCAACAGTGTGTAGTGCGAGAGTCAATGAAAATGGAAAGGGTGACCTCTGATGGCTAGCAGATGGAAGTTCATGGACCGGATACGTAACAGTATTTACTTACCCAAGTGAAAATATGTTTTATGTCTCCCAGCTATCGGTCAGATGAAATGTTTTGCTTTAAAAAATTAAATACGGTGATACTTTAACACATATTCACGATTAACGAATAGTTTTCCCTCGATAAACTCCTAATTTGCTGCTTATTGATAGTTAGTAAGGTAGTAGTTAAGTTTAGGTGTGGGGTAGGATTAAGGGATCTAAAATATGGTCATGCAGAATAAGGCATTAATAGGTGCTTTATAAGTTTTAATAAACAGCCAATATGCTAGTAATATGCATGCTAATAAGCAACTGGTCAATAGTGAGAATTGATCCTTTAAATCAAGTGTTACCTGAAAGACTTATTCTTTAACACAGTAAAGTATTCAGCTCAAAGGCTAATATGTGTAAAACAGAAACATTTTCTCATGCATGTGTAATTGAGAGAAGATATATCTTCAAGTGTAATTGAGAGATGTTTGGATATTTTCTAAAGGCCTATATTTGCAGTGTCTGTCCACGTCATATATGTTTAGTACCTGTCTCCAATGTGGATCTGACTGTTTTCTTGTGTGTTGCAGCTGTAAGTGGGACTCAGGGCTAAGTAATACTCCTGACTGCTGGCTCTTCCCAACTCTGTCTGCCCAATGTTTGCCATCCCACTCCCTCCTCCAAACCCATGCTCTGTTTGCACACGTCCACAATGACAGGGAGGTGTGAGAAAAACGAACCAATCGTGTCTTTCTACAGGTTTGACTCTCATCTCAGCTTCACTACTCGTTCTCTTCATCCTCCTCTCTCACCTCCATGCGGTCTGGAATCTGGCAACGACTGGTGTCTTGCAGTCAACTACTTTAACACCAGTTTTCATATAGCAGGCAAGCAAAAATCCATAATATCCCCAAGATTTTCAGTAAAAAATGTTTGACTGCAAACAACTCTATTGTCACAGATATATTCAATTGTACTCTATTTTTCTGTTTGTACTTTTTCCCTGCCTGAGTTTGTTGCCATAGTGACCTAGTTAAGTTAATCATTCCTCATCTACACTATGACTCTGTGTGATAAGCTAATTCTGTGTTCCTGATTAAGATGAAAGACTTTTGATTCTTCCTCTTCGTCTTTGTGCGTGTCTGACTACAAGTTGTGACATCTATAGTTTTACTATAGTTTTCAGTTAAATAACATCCACCAGTCCTTCAACCTGTTTGTTTTTTTTTCTGCCAAAATGGACTTCAAATATCCTAAAGAGTTCTACTGAAGCAATGTTCACTTGAGTTGAGTATGTTTAGCATTAAAAATATTCCAATTAATTAAGTCTTCTACAAATTTTTAAGCTTTTAATTTTCTTACCTTTAGACTTTCAGCAATGCATTACATTCTAGACTTGACAGTCCAACACTTTTATATAGTTTCTTTATTGGATCTTTGAGGTGAGCAGATGTCACTAGAAGGCTGTGGTCATTAACACCATTGTTAGTGTGTCGAACTCTCATGCTGGCAATAATCAATTTGTTCCCCATGTAGAACGCGTTACAGTGGTGCCGTGACCTAGATGAGAGTGAGGTTTAGAGGTGTGAGTATAACAGGCCAGCTGGTACAAGATTGTGCAGGTAACCCTCACTTCCCGGTTCAAGAGGTGCACTAGCGACTGACACTAAAAAATCTACAGTCTTTAGTGCGGTCGTTAGTGTGCCCAACTCCCATGCTGGCAATAATCAGTTTGTTCCCCAAGCAGAATCGGTTACAGTAGTGCCGTGACCCGGATGAGAGTGAGGTTTAGAGGTGTGAGTATAACAGGCCAGCTGGTACAAGATTGTGCAGGTAACACTCACTCTCCGGTTCAAGAGGTGCACTAGCGACTGACACTAAAAAATCTACAGTCTTTAGTGCTGTTGTTAGTGTGCCCAACTCCCATGCTGGCAATAATCAGTTTGTTCCCCAAGCAGAACCGGTTACAGTGGTGCCGTGACCCGTATGAGAGTGAGGTTTAGAGGTGTGAGTATAACAGGCCAGCTGGTACAAGATTGTGCAGGTAACCCTCACTCCCTTGGATTCATCAGGTGCACTAGCGACTGACGCTAAAAAAAATCAGCAGTCATTAGTGTTGTTGTTAGTGTGCCCAACTCCCATGCTGGCAATCGTCAATTGGAAGTAGAACCATTTACAGTGGTGCCATGACCCAGATGAGAGGTTTAGATGCATGAGTGTAATGGAGGCCAGCTGATACAAGATAGTTGTGCAGGTAAACCTCATTCAATTAATATAATTTAAATTAGATGCCAGACATTGTCAAATTTCTTACCTTTGTGTGTCAGCCATATAAACGAGTGAGAGGTTGTGCATTAATCTCATTTTGTGTTTAATGTCAATGGTCTTTGACCTGATCGGTAGCTCATGGCTTCTCTTTTGTGCAGGTAATCCTCATATGCCCAGGTTCAAGAGGTGCACTAGCAACTAATGCTAGAGACTGCTTCCTTAGTGCATCTGACTCCCATGCTGGCTGTTATTGGTTCAAGCACCACTCAGAGCGGACCGAGCGGAATGGATTATATTACAAACTAGTGAAATAGCTATATAGTTCTTCAGAGGTTACAAAAGTTGAAAAATAGATGAATTCAGAATGTAAACAGAAAGTAGACCATTCACAACTACACTGAGCAGTGTAGAAGTTACTTGAAGTATTTAGAACATACCATATAATCAGAACATTAAATAATGAAATCAGTGCTGTCAAGCAAACACTGTAAAGATTTTTGGTGCTTAAAACGTTTCTTATAAAGGCCTTTTAGTTATAACTGAAATCTTTTTTTCTCCCCTTTTTTTAATTAGAATTATTTTTACAATATGAATTCTTATTTTAGAAGTTCCCTTATAAGTCACTTGTCAATATAAGTGTAGGTGAATGTGAGGGTTATGTATGTTTGTGTGTGAGACTGCTGGAGGTGTGTTTGCCTCCCTGTGTTGCTTACTGAGTTCAGAGACACTGTGGTTTGACACTTACCTCAGGAAACATGAGCTCAGTTTCGTCTTGTCCCCAGCTCTGTTTGCCCCGCTGTTGGAAAGTGTTCACTCCTTCATTCCCTCTTAGTGAGACTGGCATCTGTGAAAGAAAAGTAGACATTACAGTAACACTTCAGATTAGAGAACACAAATTCACTATTAACTAAGAGTTTTCCCTCAATAAACTCCTAAGTTGCTGCTTAGTAATATTTAGTAAGGTAGTTGTTAAATTTAGGTGTGGGGTAGGATTAAGGGATCTAAAATATGGTCATGCAGAATAAGGCATTAATTAATATGTGCTTTATAAGTACTAATAAACAGCCAATATGCTAGTAATATGCATGCTAATAAGCAACTAGTTAATAGTGAGAACTGGTTCTTAAAACAAAGTGTTGCCGACATTACAAACAGACAACATTTTATCATTTGTATTATTTAGTTTTCAGAAAGTTAGACTAAGAAGCTTGGGTTGAACACTCTCAACTGCAGTACTTAAGTTCATAAACTTCCCTCGTGTCATTCCAAACCTGTGCAACATTCTTTTTCTCAGAAAAAAATATATACATTTTTAAGAATGTTTCATTTGTTTTACCCAATTAAAGTCAGTGAACCCTAATGACTTTCATTGCATGTACAAAAAGCAATGAGACTTTTTTTTACAAACTATCTTTTTTGTGTGTTCCACAGAAGAAAGAAATTCATACAGGTTTGGAACAACATGAAGGTGAGTAAGTGATTTGTCATTTTTGGGGTGAACTGTTCTTTTAAGTTTGTGTTATTGAGAATGGACACAATGAACACAATGCCTTGACAAGACTTTGCTTTTCTACTTTTCTCTGATTGAGCTAGATCTCCACCTTCTTCCCACTTTGCAACATGGCCAAGCCTGAGCGATACGTGAGAGCAACCAATAGAGTGAGCGTATGGTTGTTAATATATTCCTAATGATGTGCTACTTCTCAAGAAGAGCCTCAGACACAGCCCAGCTCACACCTGATAACACTGCACACCCGGGTGAGGACACACTTTGTCTGCTGGGTGCAAACTAGCCCTCCAGAGCGCTGCAGTGTAGGACAGTGTTTCTTCACAGCACTGTGTTGCAACTAACAGACATGTAACAAGCCTGTACACCGGCAGAGAGAATGAGAGTAAAATTCATTTGTGTAGGAAATTAAAATTATGTTGATGAGTGGTTTTAGCTATGGGAAGAGCCCACTAACGTTGGGTACAAAATAAATATTCTGGGGAAAATAATAATAATAATAAACTTGGGTGTGTAAGTGGACAAAGATGTGTGAACAGTTTGTTCCGTATATTTCTCCTTTCAACTCAGTGATGATGGAGCAATGTTCCTCAGACAGATTTGACTGTCCACCCTGAAAATAAAAAGGTGTGAAATTCAACATGGCAGATAGATATTGTGACTCAGTATCTCTCATAGAAACCAGACAATCGGAGGTAAATATAAAAAGAAATAGACTCAAGTGTGTAATTTATAGATCTCAAATATATCTATTTCTGGGCTCAGCTGTGATTATTGTGTCTGTGAAGTTTGACAAGCTGTAACCAGCCAACCACAGAGAACTTAATAACAGTGTCCCAGGGGGAAACCTTATTGCTCAGAGGTTGCTCTTTCATTGCTCAGAAGATGTTACAGAGTTCTCAGTTCAAATGAAATTCAGATAGAAACAAATGAGACAAATGTTGGTGATTAGTACAGCTCAGATAATTTAGTCTTGGAAGAATGTGTTGAGAAATGTTTGATTTCATATTGAAAACACTCAATAACTGACTTGGCAAACCTGACCATGTTTGAGATATTGTTGAAAATCTACAGGATACAAAAATATAAGATTTCTAAGATAATTTCCTTAGGAGACAAATCTAAAACTTCAGCTTATCTGAGATATTCTTCTCCTTATGTTGTTCTGGGTGGTTGCTAGCTAGATCACTCGCTAGACCAGGGTTCCTCAAATCTTGCCCTGGAGGGCCAATGCGCTGCAGAGTTTAGCTCCAACCCTGACCAAACTCACCTACCTGTGATTTTCTAATGATCCTGAAGACATTGATTAGCATGCTCAGGTGTGCTTGATTAGGGTTAGAGCTAAACTCTGCAGGAAAGTGGATCTCGTGGGCCAGATTTGAGGATCCCTGCACTAGACAGACACTTGCGACTGATCTATCTATCTATCTCCCTCTCTATCTAGATAGATAGATAGATAGAGAGAGAGAGAGAGAGAGAGAGAGAGAGAGAGATAGAGAGACTTTTTCTTTATTCTGGGAAAGGTTGTTTAAGGTCCAGAGAGCTCTTTTCCAAACAGTTTAACACATTCCCTGACCTCCGGCATCATGTGACATCCCAGGCCAAATTGGTCAGTCTCTTTTGTGTGTGAAATAAATTAGACATTCTCCCCTGGGTGATGTTTGTCCATGATGTGCTGACTGAAGGAGATTCTCCTCCACCACTGAGAGGGAGGGGGTCCTGTTCGGTCATCTCACTGCTACGTGAACAATCAATTCTCTTTTCAACTGGCTTCCAGCAGACTGTGTGTTTGTGTTAGGCCAGCAGGGCAAACAGCATGGGGAGAAAGGACAGTTGCAGGCCTTTTCAACCCCGGCAGCATTTTAAACAGTCTAAATGAATGAGCATAAACTTACATGTTTGTGCTGTGCTGTGGAGTCATCAGGTGTGATCTGAAGTTTCGGGAGAGACCCATATTTCTGTTTCAGCAGGTCCCTAAGAGTAACATCTGAGCTGGGATTACTGCTGTGTTCTGCCAGCATGAAATGACAATGACAACAAATGAGAATCCACAATTTTCCAGATTTAAATTGGAGTAGAGAAAAATTGTGTTAAGAGTTGGTAAATTTGATTAATTTCCATGAATCAGTAAAAACATTCATTTGCAATGGATTCATCCACAACTCTGATTCAATGTTTTGTTTAGTCATCGCTCTCTCTCTCTCTCTCTCTCTCTCAAAAAGAAGTAAAATACATAGTAAAAATATGTGAATATTTCTGTTTATTGCTATTTATTGTTACATTAGCACATATATATGTAAATTATTAACATTACCAACATACACACACACACACACACACACACACACACACACAAACCTTCTAATACCATGGCACACTTACTTTTTCATTTTTGATGTCTTAAACAAGTTTTACCTTCTGTGAATTGATAGCTGATTCAGTGTGAAAACAGCACTGCTCATAGCATCAGCTCTCACCCATTGCTTGTAGTTGCTTCTCAAGTTGACATGTGCTTCTGTGTTGTTCTGTCCAGACCCTGAACACCTCCTGTTCCCTGCGGCTCTGAAGAAACCCGAGTCGTTTCAGCCGTTTCTGCAGTTCCAGAACCTCATGTAGGCCAGATTAGAGATGATTAATCATGTGCATTTTACTAATCACAGAAAGTCCTAGTAAATATCAACGGAGAGAGAAAGCTAGGTAATGCTGGTCTCACCAGGTAGTAGTGTGTTTTAGGTAGACACCTCAAGTATGCATCATCGTGTGTGAGGGTTGATCTGGTGGCCCTCTGAATGGTCACAAGCTTCTGTGACAGAAGGAATAAACTGAGGATGCAAAGAGGATCTCTAACTATTGATTGCTCGACATATCAAGGCATAGCTTGAAACATTGAGGAACAGTTCAGATCTCAAAATATTTGAGATATCTCTTGAGGTTTTTCTTTCCATTCTGAGGGTCCCGCAAGGCCCACTGTCTTAGTATGGCTGGGAACCCCCAGCGTACAAAATGAATGAGAAGTAAACATGCAACCACAGGAAGCCATTAACTGCAACAGAGACCAATTAGGCCCCAGCAGGTGTCCACGACTCAGCCTGCTTTGGTCCCGGCTCAACATCATGAAGTCTGGACAAAGTTTTTGGCCTGAGCTGAGGAAACAACAGGGCAGTTTCATTTGCTCAGCAATTTGTACCAAAGGTTTCCTACTGGCAGCCCATAAAGTCCTTTATAGCTCAACCTTTGTCCTCCCCTCCAGTGCTGGTCATTAGAGGACACAATTACAGCCCGCTGAAGAAGACTTGGTTTTATAGGAGGAGATTGATCAGCCAAAGACCCCTCCCCCACATCCTTAGCCCCCAGTCTCTACCTATTATTGTCTTCAACCCAGACGGCCAAAAATCAAAGTCAATCACAAGTCCACACCAACTGCTTCCCCCATATTACAACGACAGGCTTCCTCAATCCTCCGGACTTCAGTACCACTTCAAAGTGTCAGTGGGAGACACATCTACTGTCCTGCAAAGAGTTACACTACAGCGCAATCGACATTGCATGGACATCTAGATTCATTTTTGCTGAAGAGATGCTTGCCCTTTACATTTAATGCTGTTTTGTACATGTAGCCTAAATTCACTTCAGAAAGACCCAGAGGAATTTATTTTGGAGAGGATTTGCCTAAATTCTGTTTTAGGAGGAATAAAAATACACAAAGAGACAATTTTTAACATACAGTAAGAGTGGTCACACTCAGTGTTGGGGGTGACGCATCACAAGTAATGCAAGTTACTTTGTTTTCCCATGTATTCACTGACACCTCCCCTGTCCCAGCGTTGAGAGAAATCAGGAGTGAGGTGCAGAGGCACTTCCTTCAGCCTGAGGCATAATAATTTCACTTTTGTTGTGAAAGGGCCTTTACAGTTGCCAAAAAATATAACTTTAGGGCTTTTGTTATTAAAAAACAAATAAGCAAGCCCAGCCCAAAACAAAAAGTAATGCAAAAGTAATGTAATGCGATACTTTCCAGAAAGAGCAACTAAGTAACGCAATTAGTATCTTTTTTAAGGAGTAACGAAATATTGTAATGCATTACTTTTAAAAGCAACTTTCAACAATGGTCACACTTTAGTTTAGGGACCAATTCTCACTACCAACAAACTATTAACTTATAAATAGTTAGTAAGGTAGTTATGTTGTTAGGTATGGAGTAGGATTAAGGGATCTAAAATCTGGTCATGCAGAATAAGGCATTAATATTTGCTTTATAAGTACTAATAAACAGTCAATATGCTAGTTGTATGCATGCGATAAGCAACTTGTTAATAGCGAGAACTTAAAATAAAGTGTTACCGTAAGAGTAACTTATGCAGACAGAATAGGCCAGACCATTTGGTTTTGGGAGAATTTAGATCTCTGACTTTTGCAGACTTTTCGGTGTCTTGGCAAATTTGAACACAGTCTGAGACTTTGTTAAGATTTCTTCTGAAACTCTACAGGAGACACTTGTGAGACCACGAGGGTGTAAATATCTCAATTTGATCTCATTTTAATCTCAGCGCTGTCTAGGAAAAACAACTGAGATATTAAAGAGGGCTCACAGGTGATTTTTCCTTTCCTTTTGGAGTTTAGCAAGGTTAGGACAACACATTTTTCAGGGATATACACTAAGTGGAAGTGTGTACTTGTATAATTGCCGATGCAGTTGCTGGTAAGGCTGCAGTGGAACACTGTCATGAATATTTCAGCACAGAGACTTCCTCTCAAGCTCTGATCGAGTGAAAGGAAACGGTCAACTTTATTTGAAGTGTTAATGGCTATCCCACTGATGTGGAAGATGTGTTTGTTACTCTACAGAAGGTGCTGTATGGATATGTGTTTGTATACGTGTCGGGTGGATGTCCACAAGCTTATCTTGGACATTACAGGAAGTTTGAGGCTGACTTGTGAGTTTGGTTTACAATATACACCTCTAAACAACATTCACAATAATAACCATGAACAAAGAGAGAATAGAGCTTCAATTTAACTAGACTGGCTAAATAACTAGATCTAGTTTAGAAGGTCACCTTGTTTGTAAGGGAGACTTTAAGGGCTGTGAATAAAGCTACTTTAATCAATGTTTCCTTAACGACTATCCCTGGTCTCCCTTACCAACTTAAAAAAAATTATCAGCAAAACAGGAAAAATGCTTCCTTAAATATTAAGAGATCCAACAGAAAGCACTGCAACACTTCCTCTGAAAGTTTTCTCAGCACTCCCGTCTACTGGAGAGATTCAGTACCACTATGCTGGTGTTTTGCTCTCTTTAATGAAGACAAATTAGTTATAATTAGTCATTGATTCCAGGAGGGTGTACCTGTTCTTTATGTCCTTCTCTAAGTTTGGAATCATGTTGCTTCATCTCTTGTCTTTGTCTTTGAACTTTTTCCCTCAGTAATGTAGCATGCTGGTATGAAAGCATGTCTTTCAAGCGCTGTAGTCTGTAGTATGTCTCTAGGTGGCGCTAGAATGTAAGAAAAAGAGAACGAAAGCATCGGCGTGTGACAGGACAGAGCAAAAGAGAACAATAATTGAATTTGTGAAACTGCTGTCAACTCTTTTATGCATCCAGAATATTTATTAATTTATTCATAGAGAATATAGCATCTTATTGATATGACTTCAAATAAACAGTTAGATCATTTAGTTGCATTGTTTTTTTGTTTTTTTTTATAATTTTATTATAAGACTATGATTAGACAGATTTTATTTATAAATTAAAAATACATAATACAGAAAATATTTAATTTATTATAAACAATGCTAGTATAAAATGCTATGGTAAGCACCTCTTAATTGGTTAAATGTATACCTATTTAAAAAGTCAATATAGGTAAATTGACTGTAAAATATTGAAAAAAAGAAAGATAAAGTCACTAAAATGCCTCCGATAATTAATCATTCTCAATGTATTTTTGGTGGTCAATTTCTTTTTTTCTTTTTTATTAGATTAAGCTATTAAACTGATAATAAACACGATAATTAGTATTATTTTTACAGTGCAGATAGTATATAAAGTGAGAACTATCTATCACACTGTTTGTGGTCTTTTTCTATATAGGTGAGTTTCTACATTGAGTCTATGGTAATCAGTCTCGTCTTTCATTGACAGTGTTTGCACCTGGGCCTTTGTTCTGGCATGCAGCTAGTCTTTCAATATATCAAAGCATCCTGATTACTAATTGGGTTTATTGCGTGCTGCAATTTAATGCCAATTTTAACAGACTACCTTAAATATTTAGGACCTAGAAAGCAATATGACATGGTTTCTCTACACTTCATATGAAGCAAATTCTGATAAGAGATTGTTTGATCGGGAAAGGAATACTGATAGTACCTGATCTAGAAGAGCTTTTCGTTTTCTCTCCAGCATTTGATCAGAATCCTCAGCATGAGCAGAAGTCATCGCCATCTGCATCTCGCCTGTTCTGCTGGGGCTTTGTGGTCTCCTCTGCCTCTGACATTCAGATGCCTTTTGGAGAGAAAATCACACTTGGATGACAAGACCCCAGCAGCAGCAGCTGTGCTCTTGTCTTCTCTGGTCCCAGAGATCACAACACAGCAGTCAGTAATTGCATGGGTTTTCCTGAATTAGCCAGTAATCATTCTCAAATGCCAAAGAACATGAGCTTGTAAGATTACTAAAAGAGTGCAAATTACAGTAATAAGCAACAAGACAGGCACTGAGAAATATGTTGGTGATTCGGAATAAGACACAAACGTGGTTTGAAAGATGAATTCATGATGTACTCGCTCATTATATACATTTAGCAAATTTTGAAAACAGAAAAAGTTACATAGTGCTGCTTTAATGGTGAAAAATATTCCAGGTCTTTCTCATTTTTATTTTATTTTTTATATTTATTTGATTGGTAATCAATCATGTGTCTTCAGTGTCGATTATATTTCTCTTTTGTAATATCCCTTTAATCAAACCCAGGTCCTTAATGAAATCAGATTCCAGGAAGTGATAATCTTGTCATACTGGCCTCTTATGATGCTGGGCACTTATTGTTACACAACTCTTTCTGTGCACTACTGACTAAGGAATGCTCGGACTGACATGTGCAGGTTGTACTGCATAGCTTACATTGTTTCAAAGGTTTAAGAACATCTGGTGCAACTGGTGTCCTGTGGATACAGAATAATGTTTAACCGATGGTATTATACTTTATTTTTTACGACATTGAATGACAGTATGAGAAAAAATATATGTGTTTAATAAGTAACACAAAGAGAAGAGAAAACTGTCCTTTTTCTTGTGTAAGTACAGGCACTTCATCAGTTCACATTGTGTCCATCTCTGGAAGAGGCCAGGCTGGCTGGCAAACATTGCTATAGTTTACAGGCTCGGCCCATTCAGGAAGTGGATGCTTTGTGGCCATTCACAAAGAGCTTTTAGAGGAGGGCAGCATTAATCAGTTTGTTGCCACAGCAATAAGAAAAGGTGAAGGGTCACACAGTTATCTTGTCTGTTAAATAAGGAAATGTCATTGAAGGATGACTGGAAGTAGTGTGTCAGCTATAGTGAATCAAGGCGTGAATCAGTTCTTGTTTGCTTAGTATGTTTGTTCTGTTTCTTGTATTCCAGTGTCCTGTTTTGCTGTATCTGTACTAAAATGTTTTGTCTGCATTTGGATCTAATCCCCCTTCATCTCTGAGTACACCCTCGTCCTATTAAAAGAGCCATTTGTATGGGAATCGGACTACACTTACTGAATATTTAGCACTTTATAGATTCAGTATTGTGCTGCAGAGCTGCAAAATAGTATAGTGCGGGAAAAACTGTTGGAATATTTTAGTACAATGATCTATCCTCATTGGCGGAAGAATCTAACTGGTAATGAAACCAAATAATTTCACCAACTAAATGATATCTCAGTATTTTCGCAAGACTATCTCACACTGTCACACTCTAAAAAATGCTGGGTTGTTTCAACCCAACTTTGGGTCAAATATGGACTAACCCAACTTAAAAATTTTAAATGTAATTTAAAAATTTAACCAAACGGTTGGGTTAGTCCATATTTGACCCAAAGTTGGGTTGAAACAACCCAGGTGCTGTAAGTTTGCTTAAGTTTTCACCATATTAATGACCTTTTTCCAGTTGACTTAAATGTGGCAGGGTAAATAACTCTTAACTGATAAGATGTTAAAATGCATATATTATAAAGAAACAGTCATTTTGAATGGAGTCAACTAGCTAAATTCATCATTTTGATGTTATTTTGTTATTACTCATGAAAACACACATTTCTCAAATATATCAGCATTGTCATTCCCATAAACATATACACATTTTAATCCAGAAAAAATAGACTTACCAGTTCTCCAAGTTTTCAATATTAGGCAGGCCTACTAACCTACCTACTGTAACTAGGCTAGACCTCCCCACAAGCAAACAGCTTTTCTAACAGCTAACTAAACACAATAGTGTGTTAATGGCTGTACATACATCCTACTCAATTGGCCTAAACCTCAAGAATTAGCCGTTTTCTGAACGACTTTAAGTATTGTTCGTTGTAGCGTTAAACTCAGCTACTCCACAGAAAGCGCTCAAAGCAAATAGTGTGATGAGTTTTAGGTCTGATCTGTGTTTAAGGGGTCGTTGCCATGGTGCGAGCTTCACAACCGCAGTCCTTTTGTTAGCATGTAGCCCATTCATTTCACTTTGTTCATTGTAGGCAAGTCGTGATCTCAAGTTTTACCCACTTAATATATATAGATGTAAAGAATTTACACGCAGAATTAGGAATGTTAAATCAAATAATACACTCTAATAAATGCTGGGTAAAATAGGGACAAACCCAGCAACTGGGTTGTTTTGACCCAGTGGTTGGGTTAAATGTTTAACCCAACCTTCTGGCTAGTAACCCAACTGCTGGGTCAAAACAACCCAATTGTTGGGTTTGTCCCTATTTTACCCAGCACTGGGTTGTATTTAACCCAGCATTTTTTAGAGTGTACAATCAATTCAGAAGATTCTGTACCGCAGAACCAATATAACCATTCACACAAGGCCTAGACTTCAGTATAGCCTATATTTGCATGCCATTTTAAAACTGCTGGTTGCTCACAGATGATCATTCAAATAATAACGGTGGGGGGGAGGGGGTTGGGGACACATCTTTTCGATTTTATTATCAGAACCCTTAAAAATGACTTGGAACAACACACAGCATATAAAAACACCTCCACATTGCAAAATAAATACTGTACACAGCTGGTTCGTCGATCAAACAGCCCTCGAGTCCATAATACACACACACTTTTAACAAGTCTCAGATATTAAGTGTCTATTCTAAGGCTTTCAGACCGTTTTCAGCAGTACTGTTTTCTGGCACAAAGGATCCTTGGCCTCTGGATGCATTTCACCGGTCGACGTTCGCACCCTGTCCCTGTTAATTCTCCGTATTACTTTCACAGATTGAAACAAACGTCTGTCATTGAGCCCAGCAAAGTGAAAACAATAGCAATGTGCAAAAACACTACTGCTTCTCAGTCAATGCGTAAAGGTAACCTGCACAAATTCTCTTGAGTGATCAGCAATAGGCCTACTTCTCAATGCAGAAAAAAAAAACATCCCAGTCAGTCCATTATGAAAGCTGAATGTGTGTGTGTGTGTGTGTGTACGCAAGACGGGTTCTTGCGTTCAGTCGAATATGTTTATTTGGACATATGGACATTTTTAGCCAGCGCATCGCATCTTGCGTCGTCAAGTTTAAATGGCGTGTATTCAATTTATAAAACGCCTCTGCGTTCTCTTCCATTCTAATAACTCTGCGGAGCGTTCACACATATACGCCTTCTTTCATTAAACCTTATCAGTTTTGGTCTAATTGTAGGTGTATGTAAACATTGCGACGCATTTGAGTTTTTTTCTTCAGTGCCTTGTGCGTAGTGCCAAGATTTGAAGTCGCACAGTCACGTTCAAAATAGTCCATTGTTGCGCTTTTCAGGTGATTGCGAACACAAGAGCGCGCCCCGTGTGCGAGACGCATGTACACACAGGACATGTTCTTTTCGTTTGCGCAGTTTTTTTTTAACTGTTGCTCTATGTACACTTGCCTTGCGTTTTAAGACTGTGCGTCCAGTTAAACATAGTTTAACTTTGACAAAGGCATCACTATATTCTATACGTTGTTGCGCTCCGTACAGCTGTTTTTTCAACGCAAGAACGCGTTCTGTCTGAATGAGCCTTTAGACAACGTGATTTCTAAAAGCATATTATGTGAATTTTGTGTCTTGACTCATGAACTGAAGTCTTCACAGTGGGCCTTTCTTTGCGGAATGAAGTGGTTCAGGTTATCAGCATTTCAGATGAGGCAAAGATGACAGTTTCTCGACTTTCC